GCCTCCCAAAGTGCGGAATTGTAGGCGTGAGCCACCGCGTCCATGCTGCTTCACATTCTTATGCTCAAGTACAAGTCTATCTGTGGGCGATTCCTAGAAATGGACTTGCCGGTCTGCACACGCCTGTGATCCACTGCCAGATTGCCTCACCAAGCTCAAGCCATATCTACAGAGTGGAAAGTGTGCTTCATGATCAAATAATGACTCTTAGGAGCAGTGTTTCTTATACAGATAGAATGTTACAGGAGTTCTTCAGGCACATCACCTTTCTTCACTGAAACCTTTTATTTATTTTTATTTTTTTATTTTTTATTTTTTTTGAGTTGGAGTCTCACTCTATTGCCTAGACTGGAGTGCAGTGACCGCTCCCGGCCACCACAGCCTCGACCTGCTGGGCTTCGGCAATCCTTCTGCCTCAGCCCTCCAAGTAGCTGGAACTACAGGCATGCGCTACCATGCCTGGCAGATTTTTTGATTTATTGTAGATATGAGGTCTCGCTGCCCAGGCGGGTCTTGAACCCATGGGCTCAGGCAGTCCACTCACCTCAGCCTCCCAAAGGCGCGGAATTACAGGCTGAGCCACCCAGCCCGTCTTTACTGAAACCTTTTTAGCAGGTCCCTGGAGCACTCACGAGCAGAATCAGAAAATAAAACCAGAAACCCTCTTTTTGACAGCCCTTCAGGTGTGTCTGTGATCACTTGACTTGATCGCCTTCCTTTCGGTATTCAGTGAAGTTGCCAGTTGAACACCGTGGTCAAAAACTTGATAGTTACTTTTCTTTTTAAGAAACTGGTCATGACCTGCCTGGGCAACTTGGCGAGACCTCATCTCTACAATAAATTGAAAAAATCAGCCAGGCGTGGTAGCGCGCGCCTGTAGTTCCAGCTACTTGGAAGGCTGAGGCAGAAGGATCGCCAGAGCCCAGCAGGTCAAGGTTGCGGTGGCCAGGGGTGTGCCACTGCACTCCAGTCTGGGCAATAGAGTGAAACTCCAACTACAAAAAAAAATAGAAAAAGAAAAAGAAAGAAACTGGTCATAGCATGGATGTTTTAAAATTTGCCTTCATGGTGTCAACGGTAACATTAAGACTTCATCCATGTAATGGTCAGAATCTCACTACTAGGCCGCCTCCTTCTTAGCCACTTGACACTGTTATCAATAGAATGACCAGTGAGGCCTTGTCAGCCACAAAGCATGCTCAGGCGACCTTGCTGGTGCATCTGAGCTCTAGAATGTGTTACCAGAAATCTTAGAAGACTGTGATTTTGGTGATGACCATGAGCCCGTGCCCCCAGAAAAGACTCTTTCTGGGTAAGAAAATCTGCCTTTGAACTGTACATAAAACCACAGAGCATGATGCTAGCAGCCTGGTGATGAACTGGGGGCTTATTGGTCAGCAGGTGCTTATTGAGTACATAGTGAGTCCCTTGCAGGTGGCACTGAGAGGGAATTTTTCTTCTTTGAGGAAACACCTCAATTGCATGGAGGTGTTAGTTTTGTTAAAGTGACAAAAGCAACATTCATCCATTCGACAAACATTTGCATGCCCATTCTGTTGAGAGCCCTGCCTTCCTTGCTCTGTGTGGAGTGAGAAAGTCTGACACAGGGCTGGGCACAGTCTTTGGAGGGGGAGCAGCTGGTTTAAGAGCCCCAAGGGGGAGAGAACTCGGCCTGTTTGCAGAGGAGGTTGGGGTTCCGGGCATGGGGGAGAGAGGCAGTCAGGACTGGGGTCTGCATGGTTCGTCTGGGAGCTTGGGCTTCCTCGGGTCACCAGGAGTCATTGAGGGTGAAGCTGGCATGGACAGCCTCTGGTTTCAAAGGTCACCTGCTGTGTGGGAAGCAAGAGAGAACAACTTGGGGCCTTCAGAGAAGGTGACAGTGGGGGGGCTGGTGGAAGAGGGACCTCCTGACAGTGGGAAGGTAGGCCGGGGGAAGGGGGTGAGGCTGGCTGCTGGTTTTTGCTGGAACCTGCCAGGTGCCATCCACAGAGTGGAAGAGCAGCAGCAGGGGTTGGGGGCATCCAGACTGGGGTTCGGGTCTGCAAGAACAAGAAGGGTTCTGTGGGCCCATTATGCATGCTTTCTGAATCTTAAAATATGTTGTAGCTTTGGTTTTGTTTTGGGGGTTTTTTTTTAAGTTGGAATCTCACTCTGCCATCCAGGCTGGAGTGCAGTGCATGCTCACGGCCACCACAACCTGACCTGCTGGGCTCAGGTGATCTTTCCACCTCGACCTTCCAAGTTGCTGGAACTACAGGTGTGCGCCACCACACCCGGCAAATTTTTTTATTTTATTGTAGAGATGAGGTCTCAACAAGTTGCCCAGGCTGATCTCAAACCCCTAGGCTCAGGCAATCCTTTCACCTCAGCCTCCCAAAGTACTAGGATTATAGGTATGAGCCACCGCTCCTGACCTTATTATAGCTTTTTATCAGGATTGTTCAGACAATATTTTTTTTTTTTTTTTTTTTGAGTTGGAGTCTCACTCTGTCGCCCAGACTGCAGCCTCGACCTGCTGGGCTCCGGCGATCCTTCCATCTCAGCCTTCCGAGTAGCTGGAACTACAGGCACGCGCTACCACGCCCAGCTCATTTTTTGATTTATTGTAGAGATGAGGTCTCGCCAAGTTGCCCAGGCAGGTCTCGAACCTGCGGGCTCAGGCAATCCATTCACCTTGGCCTCCCAAAGTGCTGGGATTACAGGCTGAGCCACCAAGCCCAGCCCAGACAATATTTTTCAAGAGTTTAAATCACATCCTCTGACTTATTCTCCCCAAAGGCCACTAGGTGTCACTGTTTACACTTGTGCCACCCAGACTCCCTGACTGAGGAAGGGGCACTGCCACCTGACATGGGAACTCCCAGGAGGGTGGCCCTGTCCCTGAGGGGCTGCTCTGATGGGAAACAGTGCCCTTCAGTGTGGTCTTCAGACACAGCAGGGCAACTTCATGCAGGGCAGAAAGTCGGGCTGGGCGGGACTGGAGCTGGGTGTGGCCACTTGGAGTGGGTGGGGTGGGTCAGGGCTCCAGGCAGGAAGAGCAGCAGAGACAGGCACGGCCCCTGCTCCTCCAGGGACGGTGCTTGAAAGGGTTGCGGGTTGTGGTGTGCGGTTGGACTTGTCAGATCCCCAGCAAAGACACTGTCAGCCCTCTAAGAGGGACCGTTTTTCTATGCGAGCCCGGGATCTGTGGCCCCTGCCTCACCCACTGGAAGACAGGAGCCTCTCAGCACGACAGCCAAACATACGCAGGGCGGGAGGGCATGTGCCAGTCACTGTCCCGCATAGTGCCCAGCCCGGAGCTGTGGGGAGACGAGCAGCCTGGCTCTGCCCGCCATGACTTTTTCTCAGAGCTCCCACAACACCTGTCCCGCGCTTGCACACAGCTGGCTGGTGGTCTTGGTGTGAGTGGACCTGCAGCGCAGCTTCCTGGACTGAGAGCGCCTCATTCTCCCCGTGCCTCAGAGAGTAGGGCAGGTCTGCAGAGTAGAGAATGTAACATCACGATGGGTGACAGCCTCAGTGATGCTAGCCCCAAGGGGTATCGCTCTTCCCCCAAGGCCCGACTCTCGTATAAGCAGTCTAGGAACTAGTCCTGCGGAATTGCCACGTCACGAGCAACTGCAGGAAGCAGAGGCACTGGGTCTGCAGTCAGGAATAAAACAGACTTTCACGAGTTCTGCCTTGCTGAATTCTTTGCTTATAATTGCCTGACATCTCTGTACCCTTTTTTTCCAGACAATTTATGAAAACCGAATATACAGCCTTAAAATAGAATGTGGACCTAAATACCCAGAAGCACCCCCCTTTGTAAGATTTGTAACAAAAATTAATATGAATGGAGTTAATAGTTCTAATGGAGTGGTAAGTTGCTCTTCTGTCCCCGCTTGTTCCTCGGGGTTAGCAGTTGCCTGTGCTTGGCATCGGGGTGTCTGGGCTGGGCCGGCCCCACACGTCCCTGGGTCCCTTGCTGACGAGTCCAGTGCATAGGAGCACAGAGGCGGGGCCGCTTCCCGGCTGTGCGTGACTGTCACTCATGTACATGGCGCCTGCTCCCCTGATCATTCAGTCCTCGTGACCCACCACGAGGTGGACATGTGGAAACTGAGGCCCAAGGGTGAAAGGCCTTGCCCAGGGCATGCCTGTACCTCCTGGGCCTCGCCTGGCACATATGCACCCTCCTCTTACGGCCTCGCTTTCTTTTTTTTTTTTAAGACATAGACCTTATTTAAGAATTCACGCACAGGAAAGGTGGTCCAAGAGCTACTTGATGGCCTTGCTTTCTTGACATGTTCCCACGACTGTTTCACTGCCTTACGTGGAGAAGCAGGCCCTGTTGTCATGGAAAGCAGTGATGGCAACAATCAATATTACAAAACAGAGCAGCATAAATTAATTTTTGCTCCGTATGTTGCTGCCAAGGACTTTGAGCCTATGGAACTCAGCAAGTGCTGAAGGGATGGAACGCATGCTGACCTCACACAGCATGCCTCTGTCTCAAGATGTCAGAAGACCTGAAGGAAACAACAGAGACGAGTTTGTTGGGTGCACTCAGGACGGAGGTCACCTGACGTCCTGAGCCCAGAATTTACTCGTGCTTTGGGGGATTGCTTTTGGGGCATGCTGCGAGGGCTGAGGACTCTGGCTCCCTGGAAGCTCCTGTCATTCGTGCAGGGGTCCAAGCTACCCTCTGCCTTGCTGTTCCCACTGTCCTGCAGGGACAGCTCGCCAACCCCACCCAGTCTGGGGTCGGGAGGCTCAGGCCGTTGTAGAGCTAGGCCAGGCTGGTTTGAGTCTCCCCAGGTGTCCGTGTCACTGTTTTCTTCTCCCAAATAGCAAGGGTTTGGGACAGGAAAAGGGCCTGGGGGGAGGGGTGTGCGGGGGCACTGGGCACGGCAGGTGTCCTTGCGGCAGTTCCAGCTTGCCAGTGCCCTGACACGCATGCAGCTTCCTTCCAGCCTCGTCTGGAGCCTGGGAGTAACTTGCTGTTTGCCTTCTCGTAGGTGGACCCCAGAGCCATATCAGTGCTAGCAAAGTGGCAGAACTCGTACAGCATCAAGGTTGTCCTGCAGGAGCTGCGGCGCCTCATGCTGTCCAAGGAGAACGTGAAGCTCCCCCAGCCGCCCGAGGGACAGTGTTACAGCAACTAGGCCCGCCAGCCGCGGCGCCCTCCCCACGCCACTGACGCAGTCTTCATTTTCCACAGTAGTAAATTTCTAGATACGTCTTGTAGACCTCAAAGTACTGGAAAGGAAGCTCCCATTCAAAGGCAATTTATCTTAAGATACTGTAAATGATACTAATTTTTTGTCCATTTGAAATATATAAGTTGTGCTATAACAAATCACCCTGTCCAGTGTAACCACTGTCCACGTAGTTGAACTTCTGGGATCAAGAAAGTCTATTTAAATTGATTCCCATCGCCACTGGTGGGGCACATCTAACTCAACTGTGAAACGACACATCACACAATCACCTTGCTGCTGAGATTACACGGCCTGGGGTCTCTGCCTCCCCCCACCTCCGCCCTCCCCACAACAGCCCGAGCTCAGGGGCCTGTTAGAGCAGATGTGAAGGTTTCCGGTCATAGCCTGTGGGACTACTGCTGGGTGTGGGGTGTTTTGCCTGCGCCCTTGGTTTCCTTCTTCAAGTCTTAAATGACGCCCCTGCCAAGCCATCATCCTGTCCCCACGCCCCCCCCCCGCCCTTGGCCGAAGCATAGATTGTAACCCCGCTGCTCCCCTGAGACTGGCCTTCAGTGAGGAATTCAGGGCTTCCCGCCTCTCTCCCCCACCTTTCGAGGGGTGCTGCTTTCCCGCCTCCTCTGCAAGTCCCTTTCTGCACCGTCACCACCCGACACTTGCCATGACACTTCCTGGCTGTGGCCAGAAGCTATCAGGTAAGGTTGGAACGTCTGACCTCCCTCGTGTAGTCCTGGAACCGCATCTGTTCATGCTCTACCAGCCTGGGAAATGAATTTGGGGCCCTTAGCCCTGCCACCATCCTCCGCTGTCATCATCAGCTGATGCGTTTTTTAGCTCAGGTTTTGACAGGTGAAAAGAACAGTCACCAGGGTTCCTCAGACCCACCCGCTCCTAGAGTCCTTGGTGGTTAGACTCGGAGAAAGGCCGCATGAAGAAGACACTTGTAAGCACATACGACCCTTCTGAATTGTTTTCTTTTCCTGTTACTGCTTTTGCTTTTTAAAATGGCAGAAGTTTTCAACAGGGCTCCCACTCGGTCAGCCTTGCCGCCCGCCATGGTCTAGCTTGGAATCTGACAACTGGAACAGGAGAAGCTTGACTGCGGGGCACGCCCGGGTTTTGGTCTGCTGCTTCTCGCAAGCCTCAGCAGGGAGAAGACGGACGCGTGTGCACAGCGGCCGAGGCTGGGGGCCGACTCTGCACAGCCGTGCTCCCACTTTCTGTTCAGGACCACTCAGTGCTGACGTGTGGATGCATACCGAAATAAAGCAATCCATTGTGTACTCGAGGTTTCTCACGTTAGTATTTGTGTAAAGCCACCTTTCGAAGCAGCAACCATCAAGTCTGAAAGCTGTCGATGTTTCCATTAATCTTTTTCTGGCGGAAACGTTAGTTCTAAGGATTTAACATCCTATAAGTCAAGTTGAGCATAACAGTATTCCATGGGCAGCCTTTTTATTGTCAGACCATTGCCTGATTTTAATATAATAAAAAAGTGTGCATTAATATTTCACAGGCTGGGCTCTGCTTCCTCGTGGCATATTAGGGATGAGATTTGATGTTTTAGATGCTTTGAGATTCAAGTTGACTTCCTAAAGCAGGGATCAGCAAACTTTTTCTAGAAAGGGCCTAAATTAGTCAATATTTAGGCTTTGCAAGCCACGAGGCAAAATCAAGGATATCATGTAAGACTTAGATAATGAGGGAACATAGATTTCCACAAGTGTTTGCGTGTTTTGTTTTGTAGAACCACAAATGTTTTAATTGGTGAAATCCAGAATAAGAGTAAAGTATTAGCCAGGCATGGTAGCTCACGCCTATACTCCCAGCACTTTGGGAGGCAGAAGTGAGAGGATTGCCTGATCCCAGGGGTTCAAGACCAGTCTGGGCAACTTGGTGAGACCTCGTCTCTGCAAGAAATCAAAAAAATCAGCTGGGTGTGGTGGGCACGCACCTGTAGTTATAGCTACTTAGAAGGCTGAGGAGGAAGGATTGCCTGAGCCCAGCAGGTTAAAGCTGTGGTGGCTGTGAGCATGCCACTGCACTCCAGCCTGGGCGATAGAGTGAGACTCCGAATCAAAAAAGTACTTTTCTTCATTCAGGGGATCACCCAGAACCAGGCAGTGGGCGAGACTTGGCCCATGGACCAGAACTGGCCAGCCCCATCCTAATCAGTGATTTTTTTTTTTTTTTTTTTTTTT